GTCCTTTTGTTTCATTTTTTCATAGTTAAATGTATTCATTGAAAAATGAGATGATGCTATGATTTTTTGCTACTTTAAATTCCCAAGAATTCATTAGCCATAATCAAATATGATCCAGTTCAAAACTCTGGTATTAGGACATACATTGCCATGTATCTTATAAAATAAGCTACTATTCTTATCTGTGCAATATGCATTTTATTTATTATTTGTAACATAAATGGAGCTGCAAGTATACATGGTATTCTTCAAAATAACAGAATTCCTGCCTTGAAGACATCAAACTCTTAAGGCAACTGGGAAGTTAGAAGTAAAAAAATGAGCATGAAAGTTAGTAACCAAAAGTACTAGTTCACTGTATAATTCTAAAACACTGATGATGTTTGCACATAATAATCCAAGCATAATGTGGTACAGACTCTAAACTGTAATAATATAAGCTAATAGTATGAAATTTGGAAACGGGTTCCTCATAATAGTTGGCAGTATGCTCCTAGCAATTGAAAGCAGCACTAATCTGTTGCTTATATGCAAAAGATGCAATGTATTATAAAGGTATTAAAGTTCTGCCACATTTTATAATTTTCCTTGTTAAAGCCCCAAACTGCCATGTCCCTTAAACTTGAGTCAAACACAAGCTTATTTGCACTAAAGAGCATGGCCAAAAAAATAAATGACAGGGTGGAAAAGCTAATTGGAACCTCTTGAAATAATGGGTTCTAATGGGAGAATTTCACATTTGTCTATTTGAAAGCTATATGGTCCAGGCAGACAATCTGTCAGTTCACTAATTTAATAATGCACTTTACCTTTTGTATATAGAAGATGTACATTTATGCCACTTGACAGGTGGGATGTGTTTCAATAACTATATAGTTAGAATCCGTAGGGCAATCTCTTGCATGCATATGTTTGTGTTGGAACTGTTGTAATAACAGATTTCCATTAAATCAGTGTAATGGAGAAGGGTAGAAGATACTTTTGAAGCAAATCCCAGTACATTTAACAAAGAATTTTAAAGTAGAGTTCATATTTGTATCCTTAAGGACTAGGATAAATTAAAAAAAAAACTATTTCTAACCTCAGTTAGTATTACAGTTGAGACTATATTTAGTTGAGATTCCCCATGATACCCTGAAAGTTAATTTTGGGAATTTGTCCAGATAAAAATTTTTTTAATGATTCTGTTTCATTGTTGATGTGTTTAAGTAACTAATAAAAAAGGCAGTATATAATACTGTACTAGAATTAAAAGTATAGTTAGCTTGATGTGGCATTATTTTTAAAACACCCAGACTAAAGAAATAAAGTTTCAAGTTAAGGAAATGCATAGAGCCTAAGAAAAGTTGTTAAAATAAGTATGATATTTCAAAATTTACAGAAATACTAACCTTCACCAACTGAAAAGGGTATTGGGGGATTTAGTGTATCCTTCCATCCTGAAAGCTTCCTAAGATGTACATTTGAAAACTAGAGAATTGTTGCTTAATAATAGGTTGTATGTACTTTACTGAGAAACACTGTGTACTAACAATTCATCAAGAGTGTGCTATATTTACTGCATTCATTTTATATCTATAGATAAGAATACATTATATATAGTCATC